TATAGTTTACACTCCTGACACTGTCAACAGCATTATAATTATTCACGGCAGCGAGTGAGTGGAACCAATGTCAATGTTTTCCTGGTTTATTTTTCTAATAGTAAGCATACGAAAATCCATCACTCATTATACTCATTGATTTTTCAAAACCACTCTAATTGTTCTCAGGCAGGTAAACGATTATCAGCTCACATCAGGAGGTAAAAGACGCAATCATCAAACTTATATTCCGTCTCCAGTGCAACTTGCAAACCCAAGCACACCGAATAATTAACATATATATTTATACAGGCAAAAATAGTGAAAGCCATACTATACTATATTTAATTTGCAATTGCATCATCAAATCCACAGTACAGCCATATTTTTGGCATACTGAATGCATAGTATGGACATTAGCACAAAAATTGGATTTCCATACTATTTTCAACTAAGATCAATATTATTTCCATAGTAAGGATTTTCAAAAAATCTCCAGTGTTAATCTAATGGATTGGATTGCGGGGTATGATCAAAGAGAAATTTATTTATGGGCATAAAATCAGGATGGAAGCCTTCGATCAAGCAACAATAGAAACTCAAAACTCTTTTTTCCTACCTGCACAGTGTGTCCCATTTCCAGTGAAAAATTCTATACATGCACATGTATAGGAACCAATTGTATCCGTACAGTTCGCATTAGCATGGCATGTATGAGTTCCCGTAGAACATTCGTCAATATCTAAATTAGAGATAGGTTTCATTGACAAATCGCATGCACAGCTTGCAATACTCCATGGTGCGTGCACGTGAACAAATAGAGTTCCTCTCTCCTGGTTCATACAGTATTTCCCAAGGACAATGGATAATTGAGGTCGCTTGTTACAATAATTATAACAGCTTGACAGACCTTAGCCCCAGGCCATGTTTGGAATCTGTGATAGTCAAAAAGCTTGTTTTGAAGTCACATTTTGGCACCACGCACGAAATTCTATATGCTCGCGCATGGCATTAACTGCCTCTTAATTCGATTTATCAAGTTGCATTGTGCACCAATGTGCTCTGCTCTAAGTGTACATTATATAGCTGAAGGGTCTTGTAGATGAAATTATCGAGTGGAAATTTTATACATTTATTAGACCTAACCAGGATTATTTGCCAAAAATGCATCTGCAGGTACGTGGCAGGAATCGAACCTGCGGCGATTCTGGCACTGACTGTACAATTCTCTAACCAACTGAGCTACAGACACCAATTGTCAAGCTCTAACCACATGTTCATGTATATATACTACGGTACTGCCATGTGTTAGTTATGGGTAAATATCAAGATTTTGTTGGCATCACACTTGATTGAATAATACTAGTTGTTAAAGGGTCTTGTTAATGGAAATTAATGATTCAGAATATAAATGTACCCAATTTTCCACTCGATAAATTCCATTCTTTTTGTAAGTGGTCAATGTTCAAATATTTAAATATTTTTTTTTGTAGAGCAATGTATACTCATAAGCTAAACCTTCCCTTTCCCAGCAAACAAAAACTTCAAGATTGTTTCTCTTCCTGAGAATATGGTCATCAAGGAAAGGAAAGTTGTATGAAAAACTCTTAGACATTTGAAGGCAGAAACATTTTGGCACCACGCACGAAACTCTATATGCTCGCGCATGGAACAGTAGATGTAATTATATAAAATTACAAGATCATTCAAACATTCAAGCTTTATTACGGCCTACCAACTTGAATCTTGAAAATGTCAGATACGGGCTGGCGTTCTTCTATGCATTTCAAACTGTCCAACTTGCAACTTCCACTCAGACATGCATGTTTTTTACGCAGGAAGGGTTCCAAATCGCATCTCAAAATTCATTGCTGAATTTCTAATGAAATTTTAGAAAAATTTAACATTTCATGACACCAATATTCTTTGTATGGAAAAGGCGAGATATAAGTTTCTTGCAGATGCGCTGAATGTACACTAAAGCATGAACGGCTCACGCAATAACAACTTTGAATTCACTATTTCGTATCTTACAGCTGCGGTATCCAGGATATACAACTCCCCCATGTGTTTATCTCTATCTGTCTTTGCTTGACTTAATTAAACATTTCAAACTTATTGCTGTTTAAACATTGTTTTGACTAAAATACTGGGTGGTTCCGGTAATTATTCTACAATCAAAGTAGTTGTGTTTTAACTTGTCGTTGCAAATGCTGCGCCAAATTTTTAATTTGTTGCTGCAAATGTTGTCTCAAATTGTCAAGGGTCCCGCTGCAAATGTATTGCTAAATTGACAACTTGTCACTGCCAAATCTTCAAATTGTTGCTGCATATGCAGTGCCAAATTTTTAAATTGTCGCTGCAAATGCTGTGCCAAATTTTTAAATATTCGCTGCAAATGCAGTGCCAAATTTTTAACTTGTCGCTGCAAACATGGCCTGTTTTAACATATAAACTGGGGGGACATGTCCCCCTATCCAGCCCTCTTACTGGCCCCTCCAGTCGGCAACCCCCCCCCCCAGTGCAAGGTCTCTAAGAACTACCTGCAGGGCTTTTTTAAGGGGGGGGGGTGTAAATAGAGTTTGCAGAGTGAAACTAGAATGCAGGAGAGTTTAGGAGCACTGAACATATGTGAAACCAGAGAAAACAAATTATTACGAAGTTATAATGAATTACACAATACAAAAATGAAGGTTGAAAGAAAGTGAAAAGGATGAATTACTGAATATGTTATTAGTGAAATTATCCTACCAAACGTCTTGTTGTTGCGGGACATTCCAACATTACGTACTTTATTGTTCATCTTTTAACTATATTTTTGGAGCGAAGCAATTTGCTAGTCCTTTAGGGTAAAGCTGACTCAACGGTATAGTGAGTTTGAATGCTTATGATGGAAGGGGTGGAGTAGGATTTATTCAGTAGCATGATCATGTGACTGTAGGTGATTGCATCCAAATATGGTGCAAGTGGCTTGATTGACAGGGATAGGGGCGTGAGGCAATTATTGAATTGTGAGGAAAATTATTGATAACAACGTGCAGGATTTGATATTATATAAAAATTATATATGATTAAACAAAAATATGATTAAACAATAACTGAATTATGTACAAAATATACAACAAAACCCAAAACAAAGATGGTAAATGAATAATACGATATGGCCATTGTTAGTTCACAGCAGTTCTGGCGTTGATCTTTCCACGCAGAGGATAAGAGTTAATATCTGTATATTGTTGCTACTAGCAGGCTATCACTAATAGCTTACTAGTAGCGTAGCCAATCAGAACGCACGATATATGATAGCCTACTAGTAGGTTTTTACTAAAGTCTTAATAGTCATGACTATAGTCTTAATAGTCATGACTATAGTTTTAAAAGTCATGACTAAAGTCTTAATTGTCATGATTATAGTCTTAATATTTAAATTAATCCTAAGATTGAATTATTGTATCCCAGATTGAATCATTGACAAGTGTGTCCACACCAGCAAAGCTAAAAAGTTGGCTTGACTGCGGTGGAAAAGATAGTAGGGACAAGAAAAACGTTTTATATATCTCCAGGGAAAACCAAGGATGGAGTTAGAGTGGTGGAAACTCTAAGATAATCTAATAAAATCTTGGAATACGCTCAATTCAAATACACTTTTCTGCTCTGTTTCTATTGTCGTTTATGCTTTTTGGGAATTATTTTTAATTAATTGGGCTATCATCAGGTTCTACAAACAAACTACTGGTTCTTTTTCATTTTAGGCGAGAACCCAAGGGAACCCTAAGAAAGCCCTTCCAGAATTCTCTCGGAATCCTTGCAAACTCCAGTAAGTCAAGGATTTTCGCAATAACGAATTCTCACTGCGCATGCGTATGAGTACAATATCCACGTCCCACAAGCATTACAACAACTTTAGTAGAATATATACCGAGAATCGTGTTACAATTAACAAATATAAAACATTTTCCGTGTTGATATCATTGAGCTATACTATATTACTGGAGGATCAAAAAGTGTCGCCAAAAACATGGCGAATCTTACGCCATTTCCATGACAATACTTACTTTATTTTCATGGTAATTGCCACTGACCAACCGCGATCCTAAGCTTCCCACGATGTCCTTTACCCCCCCCCCCCTGGTTTTTGGGCAAATATTTGATACGATATAGATATTTAAAAGTTTTCTGTTGTTTTTGAGCTAAAAAATCTTAATATTTCCTTCGAACATTACTTGTTTTACAACGCGGAGCGAGGGTACGGGTTTGCTTCGCTTGTGGATCAGCATTTCACTACAAAGAAAGTCTAATTCTTTCAGGTAAGATTCACGAAACTTTTTCTTAGACGGCTAGAGTCACTAGATATGAAGGGTCATATTATGTCGAAAACTCATCATTCTAATATATACAACAAATATTTCAATAGGGGACATGAAAGTATTGTTAATGATTAAACATTGTGTACATGAAATTATGTTGTTTTGTGTCAGCACTGGTCTTTGTGGTTTTATTGCCAGTTTTTATTTATACTAAAAATTGTTGTTGTTTACATGTTCATATATTTTAAAACGTTTATTAAATATGGTGTGAAATTTACATACTTGCCCATCACCGTGCAGAATTAGTATATACAGATAAGCACAAGACTAGAGAGAGTTGAGCCGTAGAGGAGGCCCACCTACATGTGACAATGCATGTGTCCTGTCCTGATGAGCCCTAAAGACTGTCTTTATTATTTTACTCTGTCTGTCTAATGCCAGACGATTTTAAGGGAATTGAGACTGCTCCCTGCTGCCACACAGTGGGTTAATTACACTATCCGCAAATGAGCAGCCCCTGATATATATAATCAGCCAATTAAGCTGCAAAGAACCCTGGATACTTTCCTATTTTACTCAATCTGTGAGATTAAATCCAGATGTTTTACTCATCAAGGGAAGAGTCTTAAAAATAGATATAATTTTGCCATTGTCTGTTCAGAACTATATAAAATTATATAGTTTTACACAGCATGATGTCATAGTTATTGGCAAGAACAAAAATGTTTCCCACAAGCTGCCGGAAATTAAGTGAGTCACTGATACACTAATCATGAGGTAAATTCGTAATGCTACAACATTTCTAACAAGGGCGGATTTTCATTTACTTAAAAGGAGGGGTAGAAAAATTTCTGGTGGGGGTCAGTGAGCTTTGGCAGGGGTTAGGCATTTGGGAATAAAGCCTTTCACACAAAATGGGAGGGTTGAAGCAGAATCTTGGTGGGGTTGAACACTTTATTAGAGGGGTTTAAACTCCCCCCGCCCTCAACTGTCAAGTAAATCCACCCATGATTTCTAACATGGGGAATATATAGTGATGTCCGATTGGCCATGACACAGCCTGTGAGAAATTATGATGAAAATTTGATCATAATAGTTAAGTTTGACATATTTTTAATAGCAGTTAGTTAGGAATGTAATAATTGCATTGCTGAATATTGAAACATAAGATTTAATTTTGAAGCTCAGATCAATTACTGGTCTTGGTAAAAACAGATCATTTAATTGCACTCTCCCCTTGACTAGTAAAATTGTCTGGCATTAGGTAGATTAAAATAATACAGTAAGGCATATCAAGACACATTGCCACTTGTGAAGGATCAACATATGTGTATATGATATTATTGTGATGTAAAGATGTATAATGTATCATGATAATAATGTCATCTTTTATTTTGCAGAAGTTATATGTTTAATATACACAAGAGATGGCACAGGAGAGGCATCAACATGCAGAAAAACAACAAATGAATTAGTTCATTATAATACCATGCATAACAACATAAATAATTATATGATTATGATAACTTTATTGAAGTGTAAATAAAGTTTAATAGCAATTAAAATTATACATTTTTGTTTTTTAAATTGTTTACTGCTAATAATTTTTCAAAAAAGTCAAATACACCCTTCCGGAATGTATTTCACCTTGGCTA